CCTGAAAAGGTGCGAGTTGTTTTTGACTGTGCCGCTAAGTATCGTGGGAAAAGTTTGAATAATGAGTTATTGCAAGGTCCACATTTCGCGAATGAATTGTTGGCAGTTTTATTCAGGTTTAGGCAAGGTGATATTGGATTTGTAGCTGACATTGAGGCTCATTTCCACCAAGTGTTGGTTGATCCTCCAGATTGTGATGTATTAAGGTTTCTTTGGTGGAAGAACAATGATATAAATGGTGAAGTTCAAGAATATCGGATGAGGAAACACATCTTTGGAGCAACATCCTCTCCAGCAATAGCTAATTATTGTGTTAAAAAGTATGCAGATCTCTATGAAGAAGATTTCGACAGAGAAACTGTTAAAACTGTAAAGCAAAACATGTATGTTGACGATTTAATGAAGTCAGTAGACAATTTAGACTTAGCCTTGAAATTATATGGTGAAGTTTCTGGATTATTAAGTAATTGTGGCTTCAAGTTAAGGAAATGGTGTAGTAATAGCAGAGAGTTTCTCCAGCAGATTTCAGATAGTGATAGAGTGAAATCTATTGTGGACTTAAATTTAGATGAATTGCCAATTCAGAGTGCTTTAGGCTTAAAATGGAATACAGAACTTGATGTATTTTCTTGGGAGTTGCAAGAGAAATTATTGTTTTCTAATAAACCAGCAACAAGGCGTGGTATTTTGTCTGTTGTATATTCATTGTTTGATCCTGTAGGGTTTATCTCTCCATATGTGATGAAGGCTAAGTTAATTTTGCAAACTTTAAGTAGATTGAAATTAGGCTGGGATGAATATATTGGTGATGAATACAAGTTGCAATGGAATAGATGGTTGGAGGATTTGTTTCATTTGCCAGAAGTTAAAGTCGATAGGTGTTTAAAGCCAAAGGGATATTTGATTGGAGATGATGTGCAGTTACATATATTTTGGGATGCATCCAGGGTAGGATATTCAGCTGTTTGTTATATAAGATTTGGTGGTGATCCAGTCCATTGTTCATTTCTATTTGGTAAATGCAGACTAGCTCCTATTAAGGAGCATTCCAAGACTTGAATTATCAGCTGCAGTGGTGTCAGTAAAAATGAGAAAAATGGTTGAAGACGAGCTGGATATTCAGATATCTAAAACTACCTTCTGGACAGATTCCATGTCGGTTTTAAAGTGTATCAACAATGAGTCTAGAAGATTTCATACTTTCGAATCCAACCGGTTAACCATAATACATGCTGGATCAGCTGCTCATGAATGGCGATATATTGATCGTAACCACAATCCTGCAGATGACGGATCAAAGGGTCTTAAATTGAAAGTTTTGACGAAGAAACCAAGATGGATCAGAGGTCCTGATTTCCTGTATCAGAAGGAAGAATTATGGCCAGAGAGAATTGAAATTCCTGAGCTTAAAGTTGGTGATTCTGAGGTCAGAAAGGAAGTCCAGATTTATGCAACTACCTCAGAGCCTAAAGAAGATGTTTTTGATAAATTGCTCTGTAGATATTCATCTTGGGTGAAACTTAAAAGATCTTTTGTATGGTTGTTGAGGTTTAAGAAATATTTGAGTAAAAAGGTGTCTAAGGAACCTGTTTATTTTGAATCGAATTTAAGTGTTGATGAAATTAAAGAAGCTGAATTTGAAATAGTTCGTTTAGTTCAGTTAAAGTCATTTCCAGATGCTGAGAAGCAGAATTGTCTAAGGAAATTGGATCCTCAAGTGAGAGATGGATTATTAAAGGTTGGCGGTAGATTAGATAAAGGTTTGATTGATGAAGAAGCTAAGCATCCCTTGATTTTGCCTTATAAGCACCATGTGACTGATTTGATTATAAGAGATTGTCATTTTAATGTTGGTCATCTTGGACAGGAATCGGTTTTGTCTGCCTTACGGAGTAGATTTTGGGTTTTGAAAGGTCGTTCAGCAGTACGGAAGGTTGTTAGCCGTTGTATAAGTTGTCAGAAACGCAAGAAGCGTACAGAAGAACAGTTCATGGCAAATCTTCCAGAGCAGCGCCTTACTCCAGACAAGCCTCCTTTTAATTTTGTAGGCATTGATTATTTCGGGCCACTACTTGTTAAGCAGGGTAGAAGCACTGTAAAGCGCTATGGTTGTCTCTTCACCTGTTTTACCACCCGTGCTGTTCATGTTGAAATAGCTCACTCTTTGGATACTGATGCAGTTATCAACGCCTTAAGACGTTTCATTAGTCTTCGTGGGTATCCAGAAGAAATCAGAAGTGATAATGCGTCAAATTTTGTAAAAGCTGAGAAAGAACTGAAGGCAGCTGTTTTGAATTTTAATGAATCGCAGTTGCATAACTATTGCTTGTTGAAGAATATTAAATGGTATTTCAACACACCAGCAGCTAGCCACATGGGTGGCGTTTGGGAACGTGTTGTCCGTTCTGTCAAACAAATAGCTAAATCTGTCATTGGTATTCAATTGGTATCTGATGAAGTCCTTTTAACTGTAATGGCGGAAGTTGTTATGATATTGAATAGCAGACCTTTAACTCGGGTTAGTGATGATATTTTGGATGAGGAACCATTAACTCCAAATCATCTTCTGCATCTTAGACCAAGTCCCAGTTTGCCACCTGGATTATTTGAGAAGAAGGATTTGTATCTCAAAAGAAAGTGGAGACAAGCTCAATATTTGTCCGAAATATTCTGGCGCCGCTGGATTAAAGAGTATGTTCCTACTTTATTGGAACGAAGTAAATGGGCTATTAAACATAGAAATGTCAAAGTAAATGATGTTGTTTTACTCGCAGATGATAACTTTCCTAGAAGTCAATGGCCACTTGCTAGAATCGTAGAAGTTATTAAATCTAGTGATGGACTAGTTAGAACCGTCAAAGTTAAAACTTCATCAACTGTTGCTACTTGTGCGAAACGTATTCGCCAAGCTGAATTTAAGGATTCTACCATTATCCTAACACGACCAATTACAAAGATTGCCTTGTTAGAATTACATGATTAGTTGGTTAACTGTCTAAGTAATATATTATGTTATGTAATATGTAGTTTTAAAGGTTAAGTTCTCCTTTTTTATATTACTTCATGGTAGACCTTTTTGTACTTGTTTACATAAAAATACGCTTGAGGATTTTTATGTAGGGGCTGGTGTGGCTACCATTTCAGTGTAGTCATCATTAATATTATTAGGCTAAGCCTATTGTAGGCCTACTTCTCCTTTGGTCTAAAAAGGAGTTGTGGTCTGATTCCGATGTAACTTTTATAATTGGTTAAGAAAGGCTACTTCCTGTTTAGTTTTGTCTATTTTCCTCTAAAAGCACATGGATGCTGAAAATAGTTAAAAGTTCGTTTGAGAGCTAATTATTACAAGCAGGAAGGAGCAAACATTTTCTTAACCGGCAGCAAACATTAGTTAACAGCAGAATACATTGTTTAATATCGAATGTAACTGTAGATATTAGTTTAATGCTGACTTTTATTTGTGAATGTAAAACTGCTGTGTTGAGCATTAGTTCCTGCTATCGAAATAATAAAACTGTGAATTTTGAAACTTTTATTTCTATATATACCAATGCCCAAACGTTTGAGTTTGAGACACTGGATTTCCAGAAAGCTTTCGACAAAGTTCCCCATAAAAGATTAATCACAAAACTAAAGGCTCTTGAAACATCAGACTTCATTCTAAAATGGATCGAAGACTTCCTATCCCACCGAAAGCAAAGAGTTGTTCTCAATGGTGTACAATCACCATGGATGGATGTATTTAGTGGAGTTGTTCAAGGCAGTGTACTTGGCTCGTCCCTATTCCTCGTATACATCAATGATATACCAGATGCAATCGACTCAATTGTAAAACTTTTTGCTGATGATACCAAACTCTATTTATAGAACAACACCCAACTCTTCCGACCACCAACTTCTTCAAAACGATTTAACTGACCTTTGTAACTGGAACATCAGATGGCAAATGAAATTTAACACAGACAATTGCAGATCTCTCCACTTTGGTTATAATAACAGCAGACACCAATACTACCTACCAGAAGACAACATCAACAAACCCTTAATTCAAGCTTCAGAGAAAAATGACCTAGGGATAGTTTTCCAGGACAACCTAAAATTCACCACCCAGATATCCAACAACGTGAAGAAAGGAAACCGTATGCTAGGCATGATTAGAAGAACGTTTACCAATCTTGAAACCTGAACGTTCACACCCCTGTATAAATCCCTCATTAGACCTCTACTTGAATATGCAGTAACAGTCTGGAGTCCATACCTAAAAAAAGATATTGAAATATTAGAAAATGTACAACGCCGAGCCAGCAAATTACCTAAAGAGCTGAGAAACCAGAGCTACCCAGACAGACTAAGAGCACTCGGACTACCAACATTAGAATATACGAGGAAAAGAGCTGACGTCATACAAGTCTACCGCATTCTATCAGGAATAGATCAAATCGCCAGTAAGGACATGCTACACCTTGTCACAAGATCAATTACAAGAGGAAACAGTAAAAAGCTAGCTAAACCAAATCAAGACTGGAAATAACAAAGAACTTTTTCTCCATCAGAGTAATCAACTCATGGAACTCCCTGCTAGACTACGTCGTAAGATCTGAAACCCTCAATCAATTCAAGTCCAATTTGAACACAGCCTGGAAATCTGACCCTATCAAATTTACACCCAGTACCTATCAAGTCAATTGAATCCCAGTCAAAATTAACCGACCAAACACTCCTACAATACACAGACGCACTTATTACTATAAACAAGTCACTCTTTGAGGTGGTCTAGAAGCTTTCGAGTTTACAACAGACCGAGGATCAGTAAGAATCAGTAAGAATGATTTAATCTAAATTGCTACCCTGTTGTATTCGCTCATTGCTACACTAACATCAGATAGAGCCTAAAACTCAAGATGTATGATGTGAATTTCATCCAATCAAACGATAAATGATACAGCTGATTTCCTGGCTACTATGAAAAATTTTTGATTAATAGATTTATTTTTTTCAGTGAAGATTGGTTGAGGAGAGGGTACTGTCAGGAGGCCAAGGTTAGTCAGTTTCTTTTGAAACTAGTTTTAAACTTCTCTACTTCATTAGTTCTGAGAAAATTTATTGAAATATTTTCCTAATTTTTAAACTGATACCATCTTTAAAAACTTTCAAAAGATGTAAAAGCAATTAGTGGGCTAGCCCGCTTGGCACAGTGTTGCGTTAACACTGATATGTTGTTTAGCCGTGCCGGACTGAGATCACCTCTTCTTGAAACTAGCATGGTGCCGAGCCTTCTCAATCTGTTTACACTGCCATTTTTTCTGCCGAACCGTACTCGTTACAGCCCAAGTCCGGACTCGGCCCAGATAATTTGTGGTTTATGAATTAAAGATGGATTGAAAATTGTAATGTACCATGTAATTTTTATTTTTGTACTAGACATATGGTGATGTTCCACTGCGTGTTGGATTTAGACCCAGAAAAATCACAGTATTTCTCAATCCAGCTGCTCATGATGGGTAGGTTTTATTTACTTTCAATATGGTACCAGGATATTATGAGATCAGGGGCCTGAACTTGATTGGTCAATTACTAAAATTGGTTTTAAATTCAGTTTTATTATCCAATCAGATTACTGTATTTTTAAAATTTGAGTTTTATTTTGAGAATAAGGCCCCAGCTCTTGTCAATAAAATAAAACCCATTTGTTAATAACCAAACGAATGATGCCATTCCAACACTATTACCAAATGCGCTACTCCCCCTTCTCAAAAAGACTCCTATATATTTTTTCTTTTTTTAGAAAAGCGAGAAAATTATTTGAAAAGAACGCAGCTCCTATTTTATACTTGGCAGGAATGGAAGTCAATGTTGTTAAGGTTTGTTATTAAGTTATTGCCCTTGATTTAAGAAAACAGTCTGTGAATCCTGTACGCTATGAACAATTTAAAAAAATTTTTTGAGAAAGACTAAGAGATATATGAATTGAACACTTGTTCCATTGTTATTTTAGACTGAGTATGAAGGACAAGTCAAACAGTTTTTAAACGTAGTAGAAAGTAAAGATACAGATGGTATTATAGTTGCTGGGGGTGATGGAACTTTACTAGAGGTAACGTTTTAATTTAACAAAAAATAGTTAACTGCAATTCCCTAACGTCAGTCAGTATACTGCTGGTCATGGGAGCTGAGTTTAGCATTAGATGTAGGGCAAACAAATAGAAGATATTTTAAACATGTATTTATTGGTGTTATAGTGTGTTGGTGTTTATTGTAATATGTTGGGTTGTTACTAAATGTTATAAAATTGTAATGTATTATATTACAGGCTGTGACAGGATTTATTGGTGTTATAGTGTGTTGGTATTTATTGTAATATGTTGGGTTGTTACTAAATGTTATAAAATTGTAATGTATTATATTACAGGCTGTGACAGGATTTATTGGTGTTATAGTGTGTTGGTGTTTATTGTAATATGTTGGGTTGTTACTAAATGTTATAAAATTGTAATGTATTATATTACAGGCTGTGACAGGATTTATTGGTGTTATAGTGTGTTGGTGTTTATTGTAATATGTTGGGTTGTTACTAAATGTTATAAAATTGTAATGTATTATATTACAGGCTGTGACAGGATTTATTGGTGTTATAGTGTGTTGGTGTTTATTGTAATATGTTAGGTTGTTACTAAATGTTATAAAATTGTAATGTATTATATTACAGGCTGTGACAGGATTTATTGGTGTTATAGTGTGTTGGTGTTTATTGTAATATGTTGGGTTGTTACTAAATGTTATAAAATTGTAATGTATTATAAGGCTGTGACAGGATTTATTGGTGTTATAGTGTGTTGGTGTTTATTGTAATATGTTGGGTTGTTACTAAATGTTATAAAATTGTAATGTATTATATTACAGGCTGTGACAGGATTTATTGGTGTTATAGTGTGTTGGTGTTTATTGTAATATGTTGGGTTGTTACTAAATGTTATAAAATTGTAATGTATTATATTACAGGCTGTGACAGGATTTATTGGTGTTATAGTGTGTTGGTGTTTATTGTAATATGTTGGGTTGTTACTAAATGTTATAAAATTTGTAATGTATTATATTACAGGCAGTGACAGGATTTATTGGTGTTATAGTGTGTTGGTGTTTATTGTAATATGTTGGGTTGTTACTAAATGTTATAAAATTTGTAATGTATTATATTACAGGCTGTGACAGGATTTATGAGAAAAGAAGATAAGGTAGAGAGATATATATATATATAGTTTAGACTAATAATAATTAATATATATCAACTTCATGTTATACTTGGATGTGCCTGAAAATCTTTAATCATCTTGTCTAGCTTTAAATACAAAATAAATACTGTTAGCAATATGGACTCTCAGGCTATATTGATCTTCAAGAGGGATGCCAAGTTGACCCCATAACAGAGTGGCTGTGCCGTCCATAGAGCTGAGCCCCAGCAAGTAAGAATTAAGTTTTTCTTCAGTTCGGCAGAGTTTGATGAATTTGTAGTCAATATACAAAGTTGAAAAGATGAATGGTTTTGTATGTAAACTGATATTTTTTATTATAGAAATTCCGTAACACGGTACCTATTGGTATTATACCACTGGGAATAACTAATAAATTCGCTCAGATTGTTTATGGTTCAGATATAGAAAGTGTCAGGTCAGTCTTATTTTATTTGGGTCTTGGGTTGGGTCTGAGGTTGGGTATAGTTAAACTGATCCTTTTGAGACAAACTCCCAGGACCTAGTACTGTTAAACAAAAAATATTACAACCAATCATATAAATATGTTATTTCTCAATGTAAAATTTACCACCTGCGACAAACTCTAATTTTAAGATACTTGAGAAACAGTGCCCAGAATTTTATCCTTTGGTTCAATTTCTTTGGAAACAGACGGCATGCTATGAAACTTATTTTTGCCAGTGTACAATAGTGGTGACTGTACACTAGAGGTGGCTGTACACTAGAGGTGACTGTACACTAGAGGTGACTGTACAGTAGAGGTGACTGTACACTAGAGGTGACTGTACAGTAGAGGCGACTGTACACTAGAGATGACTGCATAATAGTGGTGACTCTATAGTATAGGTGACTGTACACTAGAGGTGACTGTACTATATTTTCTAGGTTTATCTTGTCTATATTTTCTAGATTTATCTTGTCTATATTTTCTAGATTTATCTTGTCTATATTTTCTAGATTTATCTTGTCTATATTTTCTAGATTTATCTTGTCTATATTTTCTAGATTTATCTTGTCTATATTTTCTAGATTTATCTTGTCTATATTTTCTAGATTTATCTTGTCTATATTTTCTAGATTTATCATGCCTATATTTTCTAGATTTATTTGTGAAGCAGCTATGGCAGTAGTGAAAGGAGTCAGTCAAAAATATGATGTGATGAAAATTGACGTAAGTTTTTTAATTTTGAAGAGATTGTTAAGACATCTAAACTTTATATATATATATATTGATTATTGAGGACACCAATTTTCAGTCAGACATCTGTTGTTCTTACAATTTCACCTAAACTAAGCGTTTTATGATGTTATAAAGATTTTTAGATATTATTAGCCACTTTTTGTAATAGTGTTCTTATGGATGACACAGAATTACATTTGAATTCCTTTGTTGTATTACAGGGTGGAGGTAAAACAAGTTATGCTCTGTGTGGAATGGAGACTGGTTTATACAGAGATGCAGAGGAGAGAAAAACCCAGTTAGTCCTTCAAATTTTATATTTTTCAATATCATTAATCTATACACATATACAGATATACTGGCCAAGATTTTTTATTACATTCTATAAGATGATTTCATACTTTGTTATCTACTGGTAAAGTTTTCTTTATTACATTCTATAAGATAATTTCAAACTTTGTTATCTACTGGTAAAGTTTTCTTTATTACATTCTATAAGATAATTTCAAACTTTGTTATCTACTGGTAAAGTTTTCTTTATTACATTCTATAAGATAATTTCAAACTTTGTTATCTACTGGTAAAGTTTTCTTTATTACATTCTATAAGATAATTTCAAACTTTGTTATCTACTGGTAAAGTTTTCTTTATTACATTCTATAAGATAATTTCAAACTTTGTTATCTACTGGTAAAGTTTTCTTTATTACATTCTATAAGATGATTTCATACTTTGTTATCTACTGGTAAAGTTTTCTTTATTACATTCTATAAGATAATTTCAAACTTTGTTATCTACTGGTAAAGTTTTCTTTATTACATTCTATAAGATAATTTCAAACTTTGTTATCTACTGGTAAAGTTTTCTTTATTACATTCTATAAGATAATTTCAAACTTTGTTATCTACTGGTAAAGTTTTCTTTATTACATTCTATAAGATAATTTCAAACTTTGTTATCTACTGGTAAAGTTTTCTTTATTACATTCTATAAGATGATTTCATACTTTGTTATCTACTGGTAAAGTTTTCTTTATTACATTCTATAAGATAATTTCAAACTTTGTTATCTACTGGTAAAGTTTTCTTTATTACATTCTATAAGATAATTTCAAACTTTGTTATCTACTGGTAAAGTTTTCTTTATTACATTCTATAAGATGATTTCATACTTTGTTATCTACTGGTAAAGTTTTCTTTATTACATTCTATAAGATAATTTCAAACTTTGTTATCTACTGGTAAAGTTTTCTTTATTACATTCTATAAGATAATTTCATACTTTGTTATCTACTGGTAAAGTTTTCTTTATTACATTCTATAAGATAATTTCAAACTTTGTTATCTACTGGTAAAATTTTCTTTATTACATTCTATAAGATGAACTGTAGCAGACAGGTCCAATCTCATCAGTTCAGAAAGTATCATATTGATATGTTATTAGTATTTCAGTCATCTGATTGGTCAATCACTAAAATTGATAGTGATGATTTTTATGAGCAAATCAGAGGATTACCATTACCACTCTCTCACTCTCTCCACTCTCTCCACTCTCTCCACTCACTCTCTCCACTCTCTCCACTCACTGTCTCCACTCTCTCCACTCAATCTCTCCACTCTCTCCACTCTTAGCTGAACAGTACCTGTCCTATTTTGAACAGCAAGCCTTAACACTATCTCCTATACAACCAATATGTTGCTAAGTCGAGAATTAATTCTAACAGTAGGATATAAAACGACTATGTATTTCTAGATATTGGTATTTTGGTCCACTTAAATCAAGATGGACGTATATTAGAAGTATAATGAAAGAATGGCCGCCAAGTTTTAAAGCTACTATAAGTTACGTCCTAGCGACACCAGAAAATACACAACTAAAACCAGTCTCACAATCAAAACAACATATACAGTCCTCTAATGGATGGTTTGGTTCTATATTTGGACCTGGTTATAAGAAAAAAGGTAAGTTTGTATTTTTGGTTTGTTTGAATGAGGAATGTGTATTGACCTAACACTACAAAATATAATAAAACCTGATAGTAAAATATAATAAAACCTGGTAGTAAAATATAATAAAACCTGGTAGTAAAATATAATAAAACCTGGTAGTAAAATATAATAAAACCTGATAGTAATATATAATAAAACCTGATAGTAATATATAATAAAACCTGATAGTAAAATATAATAAAACCTGGTAGTAAAATATAATAAAACCTGGTAGTAAAATATAATAAAACCTGGTAGTAAAATATAATAAAACCTGATAGTAAAATATAATAAAACCTGATAGTAAAATATAATAAAACCTGATAGTAAAATATAATAAAACCTGGTAGTAAAATATGATAAAACCTGATAGTAAAAATAAGAAAACCTGATAGTAAAATATAATAAAACCTGATAGTAATATATAATAAAACCTGATAGTACAATATAATAAAACCTGGTAGTAAAATATAATAAAACCTGGTAGTAAAATATAATAAAACCTGATAGTAATATATAATAAAACCTGATAGTAATATATAATAAAACCTGATAGTACAATATAATAAAACCTGGTAGTAAAATATAATAAAACCTGGTAGTAAAATATAATAAAACCTGATAGTAATATATAATAAAACCTGGTAGTAAAATATAATAAAACCTGGTAGTAAAATATAATAAAACCTGGTAGTAAAATATAATAAAACCTGGTAGTAAAATATAATAAAACCTGGTAGTAAAATATAATAAAACCTGATAGTAAAATATAATAAAACCTGATAGTAATATATAATAAAACCTGGTAGTAAAATATAATAAAACCTGGTAGTAAAATATAATAAAACCTGATAGTAATATAAAACCTGATAGTAATATATT